TGTGAATTTATGTGGCGTTGCCAGTACACAGATTCTAGTTAGATAATTTTAAGAAGTTTTTGAATGCTGTTAAGGAATTTTGTTTGACTGAAGAACGAGAAATTTCTAAATAAGGCAAGTACATATTTCCTTTGTGTAGTGCTAAGATGAATTTCCTTTTTTTAATATTATTTGATTGCTTTATTTAAAATTATAATTTAATTATAGTTTCTTGAGATTATATATTTTTGTTGGCTGCTCCTTAAGACTTTTTAAGTGAATATAAATATGTGTACATGGACAAAGTTAAGACAGTGCGCAATGCCAAGTTTGTGCAATTCTCCTGATTTTTTTTTAAAGTGAGTATGTACATGGATACCAAGTTTGCGCAATTCAATGTATACATGATAGTAAGTTTGCGCAATTCTTTGATTTGTTATTTTGTCTTTGTATAGTGTCCATTTTTGGAGCCAAAATAACAAGTCAAAGAATTGCACAAACTCGGTTATCCATGCAACACCAAAAATTGCCAATTTTAGCCAAGGGGGTACCCGTAAATATATTTTTTACTTTATTAATTTTAAGAAAGTACTGTGTTTACAAGACTCCAATATAATTAGTTTTTCAGTTAAGATTTCATAAAAATGTTTTTTTTTTTTTTTTTTCTTGAATGTATTAGTATTAATTCTGATTCTAATCAATTCTAATCATCACTTGGTGATTTTAATCAATGGCAACTATAATCGGAATCTAATCGAATCTGATGAATCTAATCAGGTCTAATCATCACTGGCTGATTAAAATTTCAAGAAATTTTGATAAATTATGTAAATACTATACCTATATACAATGATTAATTATAGTGTTTTTGATATAAGAACTTTTTAAATTGCAATTAAATTTGAAATTATACAAAAAGTAACTCTTGCACTGCCTCAAATAAAACTAAATGATTTATGGCTGATCTTTAGAATATGGTAACTGGTAGTTTGACAACATTTTGGAGGCGATAAAGGTTACTACCTGGGACTTTGGTAATAATGTGAGCAGTACTCAGTTCCGATTACGCATTATTTTGTGTGAGGGAAATGAGAGATCATGGGATATGTCATGTGATATTAATGGACAAATTACGGTTCTTTAATCGGAAAAAAATCTGGAAATTTTGTATTTGGCTTTATTCTGTGTTCTGTGAAAGAGTGTTCGTTAATTTTTGGATCCCATGGCCCTAACTAAAGTGAATTCGAAATGGGTATTTAGTGGGATTGAAAGGGGTAGTAATAAGTGTTTCTTTAAGGTTGCGCGAGATAGAAGCAAAGATATTTTATTAAGTTATTTATTTTACCTGGTACCTTGCTGTGAACTATAAGTATGATTTTAAAGATCCTGAAACAGGTGCACATACGCTTGCTTTTTATTTAGCGGAGTACATAAGAAAAGTTTATCGGACACGTAATCAAGATTCTGAAGAAGATTAGGTAAGTTAGTATTTTTAATTATTTGAGGATATTATTTTTATGCATTGTTCTAAATGTAAGTTGGAAGTAAAGTAATTTGGTATTATTGGGAAAATTGTTATTAGCAATGATTTAGTTTAAAGTAATTAGGATTGTAAGCTAATTTTTATTAATTTAATGTATGTGCTTATTTATATTTTAAGTAGTGTTTTTGAATTTAATTATATTTTAATTAAATGATAGTTATTTTGTGAATTTTATGTTTGCAGGAATTGGGTATACGTTTTAGTTGAAGTAAACGTGCATGGAAATAATTTAAATATTTGACACTAAGTATTTGTAATGTTTGCGGTATGAATTCGTTGGTGACGTTTATAATATAATAGATAATTTAGAGGTAAAAGTTTTTGGATATTTTATTTATTTTATACGTGGAAATGTTCATATTTGGAAAGGGTATATACTTTTTCGTTATTAGGTAATTTCATATATGTTCTTTTTAACGGGTTTAAAGATTCAGAAAATTGTCATGCATTTTCGTGAAATCTTTCTAATTTATGAGAAAAAAGGAGTGTACATGGATATGGTGAAGAGTGTGCGCAATGCCATTTTTGTGCAATTCTGGGATTTTTTTTTTAAGTAAAAATAAGTCGACGTGTACATGGTTTAGTGATATTTTAATTAAATGATAGTTATTTTGTGAATTTTATGTTTGTAGGAATTTGGTATACGTTTTAGTTGAAGTAAACGTGCATGGAAATAATTTAAATATTTGACACTAAGTATTTGTAATGCTTGCGGTATGAATTCGTTGGTGACGTTTATAATATAATAGATGATTTAGAGGTAAAAGTTTTGGATATTTTATTTATTTTATATGTGGAAATGTTCATATTTGGAAAGGGTATATACTTTTTCACGATCAGGTAATTTCATATATGTTCTTTTTACTGGGTTTAAAGATTCAGAAAATTGTCATGCATTTTCATGAAATTTTTCTAATTTATTAGAAAAAAGCAGTGTACATGGATATAGTGAAGAGTGTGCGCAATGCCATTTTTGTGTAATTCTGGGATGTTTTTATAAGTAAAAATAAGTCGACATGTACATGGTTTATGTGTATGTGTTATTTTGAAAAACGCGTAAGGAGTATGGTATTGTGCACTTTTCCCCAATTTTGCAGTGAATATTTGTCATGATTAAGCAGTTTTGTTAGATAAAATTTCTAGCATAAGTGTAATTCGGCTAGTAGATTGTTGGAAGAAGTGTTCAGTAGATAAAAAGAAAAGAAACATGTCTTTACTTCGTGAAGACAAAATGGCGGCAGGAAAAAAAAATAGAGGGTTGCTGTAGGAGAGTTGGTCGCCAAATTTTCGCCAAGTTACCATAATCTAAAGATCAACCTGATTTATTTATATATATGCCAGACATTTGGCCACTAAGCCATTAGTCTTGATCTTGTTTCGCCAATACTTAAGAACAATAGAGTTAAAAGATAATAGTGCAGTGTACTTGTCAATATGATTATAATGGTTATCTATGCAGTGGTAAAAACACAGCTTATAATATATGCGATGTTTTTAAATACATAATTATGCATACTTACAAATTTTAACTGGTAAATATGATTCTATTTTACTTTATTAAGAAAATAATGTGCATTTACAGAATTTGAAGGTAATTATAGTGATGATTTCTCAAAACTATAATTATACTGCTTGTGCATATGATTTCTCAGAAACCAGTTGTCAGAACTTTCCTTTCTTTTGACTGTAAGAAATGAACAATTATTAAACTTTTTGCGTTAAAACTTTAGCAATTACATGTAATTTTACATTGAAAAATTTATTTTGTGATCTTAAATTTTTCTTATTTTAAGAAAATAATCAGTTATTTTCAAAATAGTTCATTTTAGTTTTTTTATTTTGAAAAATAAATTACCCCAAAATAATTTGTATCTATAATGCTACATGCAATGGGTATTATAATTCAATGACAAAGAAGGTATATTATTTTTATTTACTTATTTTATAAATTTTATTTATTTTTAAAGTTTAAATATAAGTAATTGTAGCAAATGCAACATAAAGTATATCAAAATATAGACACAAAATTCATAATTCAATTAGTTATAAAGATATCGAGCTTTAAATGTGTTTAAATGTTTGGCATATTTTGACATTTTAAAGGTACCTGATACCTTAAGATAATGGGATTAATTCACATTCATTTACAAGTCTTCAAATAAAGCTTCTGTAGGATAATAACATATTTAATATAAAATCAAATAATGTAACAAAAAATGTAATAAATTTATTACATAGAAAAATTTTAAGAAATGTATGAAATTTTATTTTAGTATAACTTGTGCTGATATCATTCACACATTCATTCTGACTTTACAATGGAAAAGCATATTATTCTAATTACAGTTAAACATTTTATTGTTTCACATGTGCAAAAAATACATAAAATGTCACTGATTACATTAGTGCAGTTAGCTTCTTAAAATCTAAGATACCTACTATTAAGACATGTATGAAAAACTTTTCGTACATACAATTATCAGGGGAGAAAATAGTTGTGAAGGATTTTCTCCGGAATACTGGCTACTTAAAATAACAGCTCATTTTAATTTGAATCGGGAATAAAATATGCCAGTTAATTGTGCCAACCATAGACTACCATTTAATATGAACCATAATCAAAATAAAAGTTATAAATTTATTTCTAAAAAGTGCTGAAAAGCACATTCACAAATAATTATTTTCCCAAATACATGTCAATACATGCATCTTATTCATAAAAAAAAATTGCGATTAGGAATGACTTTTTCTGTTCACGTATTTAAAACATTAATAAAATTAATGTAGGCGATTATTTTTTTTAAATTTAAGTTGTAAAATTAACAATGACCAATGCTCACATTTTTAAGTAACCGTTACTTAATATTGTAACATGTGTACATAACAAATATTACAAACTTTCGAACGTACAACTGTAAACAAGATTTTGACGTTAACACGAACTACGTCAGACATGCAGTACTGATATAAAATAACGAGAGCTGTTTTCTTTTCTTTCACGGTGCTGTTTTAATATCCCAACTGTTACTAAAAATTATTAGGAAAAACTTAAGCATCAAAATACTTTATCCCTTGAATGACACAGTTGACTTAATAACAAGTTTGTGAAATTTCTCAGTTTGATCAATTAATTATCGAGTGCTTAATATGACAAGTTTAATTTTCCTAATCATTCAAAAGGGATAAAAATTATTACAATTGAAAAAATCCCACAAAATTATTACTTTCTGATACTTCTGATCGCAAATCTCTAGTGATCCAGATTCAGACAAAATTGAACACTTCACTAGTTCTTGTTTCAAATACCCAGAAAATTCAATTTCATACACAATATTTCATTAGAAATACATTGACGGTATATACAGAAATTTCCGCTCATTTATAACAACATACTTATTCGTAAGTGTACGATCGAGTTATATCGCTTATCAGAAGTGAAACAAGCAGCACCAACACTTCCAGCGATTAATCTACTTACAAGCTTAGCCGCTTCAGTCCATGTTCGAGCTTTCTTTTTTCTCACTTGTCTTTCTTTCGAAAGTTCGATTTGCATTTTTCCAGATACACAAATAACCATTAGTGAAGCATGTACAATGGCGATAGCCAATACAGGAAAAACAATGTTAAAAATATAGTAAACGTAAGCACTTTGTCAAAACCATCAAGTCAGCCATTACGTTCGCCATGACACTAATAAGACAACAATATCACGTGACCTCCTACTTGGCTCAGTTTAGTTTTATTCGCGGATTATTACGGATATTTCGAAGCTGGATATTTTAGAGCCATAAATAAAATTTAGTTCTTCATGCTTTCCGATTTCCTCCATTTAGATCATCTTTTAGTTACAGAAATGCCCTCAATACAAAAATATATGCTTTACAAAAATTTTATTAATATGAAATTTTACAATAAAGTGAATTTATGTGACTCGATAGTGAACGACGATTTAATCCTTTTTACGAAGCACGCAGACTAAAATTCAGTACAAATTTTATAATTCTATAGTTTAAATAAAAAGAGAAACAATAAGTAAACTAAAACCTTGATTTGGTTGAGGCATAGTCATAGACTACTTTTATTAGCTCATGGTACTCGCATTCTGATTTTTGCAATGAAGTTAATGGGATGCTAAAAATTTTAGTCTAGAAAGTCTATTTGGATATCATATATACGAAACGAATTACTTTCGGTAATGCAAAAATCTTCAAAGCCCAACTCTGTTACTGTCCTCCTTCTCCGCTATAATTTCTTATAAAATTTTACTCAAGTGTCAATCTTTAATTCGTAAATTAGATCAAATTTTAGCCTAAAATATTGTCGCGGGTAAAATCAGGGGCGTAGCTAGAGAGGGGGCAAGGGAGGGCATCTGTCCCCGGTAGCGTATTTCCAAACCCTACCCCACTTTTCGAATTTTTGACGTCACCAAAAATATCGACTAGTTTCACCTGGCAAGACGGCGTACTCCACTTTTGACTACTATGGCGCGTTTTCGAAAGAATTGTGATGTGGATTAGTATGTTTAGGTGCTAATTGTGAGATTTTCGCAATTTAAATTATTATGAGTGGAAATTTAAGCAAAATCTTTAGTGAATGGTTATTGTTTATTGCCGTAGTGTACTTGAGGAAAGAGGAGAATAATTCACTGCTGATGCATTAACAGTATGAAAAATTTGGAAGACTCGGCAATAAATGTGATGCATTCATCGCAAAATTCAGCGAAGCCAGTAAAACAAACGAGTGTTCGCAAAACTTATCCACATCTGAAGTCACTATACAAAAATTGTATGTGTGCCAACACAGATATTTTAATAAATAAATAAAAAAATAAACTTTAGATCAAGGAATAAGGAAGAATTGCAGTGCCTCTGTGTGCTTAAAAACTACGAAGCATTCTGCCGACTTTTATGCCAAAATCAAGGTTGACAAATAGATTAATACATTTTAATGTTTCTTTCAGTGTATATATTTCGAAAGTATTAAAATAACTTGGACAGTTGTTTAATTGCTTAAAACAGCAATAAAATTCATTTATAAAGATATATGTTACGAAGAACACAGAAAATATATAAATCAAATATATTTAAAACAGTTCGTTCAGTTGCGGGCCTGCCTCTACCCGAGGCTGGGTGCATTATGAATAAAGACAAAAAATTCTTAATAAACCATTCTTTATTTCCATCAAAACAGTATCACTCTTCCGAGATCAGCTTTCGTTCGTCCACACTCAAAACATTCGAAACACTCAGCACGCAGGCTGACGTCACAAACAGCAGCGCCTCTCGCTGGTTATTACTTCAGTTCATTTCACAACATCCTCCCCCCCCCTTGAGACTCAGGTTGAGTCTCAAACTCATAACAAACATTATTTAAAAGATCAAGTCTTTTTGGAACTTTTACAAGTCGTCCAGAGGAGGAATATTGTTGCATTACCATTTTATCAGGTGCACTTCCCCTTTTTTAATGTACATCCAGCACTAGAATTAGATTCCTCTGCACCAGTTTCTTATCAGGAATTATGTTTCTATCATTGGACTGTATCTCCAGAGGAAAGATGCGTTGTATTGGTCGTATAACTGTCTCCTCCCGAAGTGGAGATGCTTTAAGCTGACTCATCATATTTTCACTAACGTAGCTACTTTGGCTTCCGCTATCAATTATGCAGCGAATAATTTTCTCGCGACCTTGACACCGAATTCGAACGCAAAGCGTTTGCAAAAATACAGTTTCGCTTCTGCCACAGTTAGAAAGAGAACTCTCCTTTGAAACATTTATCTGATCATTCTTTTTTAGCTTTTGATTACACATTACATCAAAATGATTACAACTTTTGGACAAATAGAACAACTTAACTTACCTTTGAAAGGACAAAATTTACTAATGTGACTCGCTCTTTTCAGACAAGAAAACAAGCACCTTTTTTTCAACAACAATTGTTGTTTTTCAGCTAAAGTCAATTTTTTTTTTTTTTTTGCAGAGTAACATTTTTCACTAAAATGTTTCTTTTCACAAAAATTGCACAGTTTCGGAACACTCTTACCTGAATTCTCAAGACTTTACTAGAGCTGATGCTGTTACGGGATCATTTTGCTTTACCTGTTCGTGGTTAAAATCTTTCTTCCGATGGTTCTGTTAGGAAGCGAAACCAGTTCTTGCGAGGAGAACCATCTCTTCCCCCTTAACTTCCTTTTTAAGAAATTCATTAAATGTTTCAAAGATCGATTCCCTTTAGTTTCAATGGATTCGTGATTTCTGCTTCTTTCCCATGCTATCAATACTTCTTCTGGTAAGCAACTTTCCACTAAGGGAGTCAAAAAATCCCCATATTTTTCTTGGGTTCTCCCCAAACTTTCCAACGCTCGCAATTTTCCTTCTAGTTCATCATACAGGGAGGGTAGATCCGTTTTGTTCTTCCGGTTACAGCGTTCTTCATCACTAGGCTTAACAAGTCTCTCACATAGATTTGCACAAGTAAATCTTCGCGTCCAAAGCGCTCTCTTAGTTATTCGATGGCTTTAGGATAATTAGCTGCCGTTGCCGGGAAGCTAAGGACTAGGCGTTCTGCTTTCGATTTGGGTTCCATAGGCCTGCAAACAGATACTGCATTTTATCTTCATCAACGCTATACTTCTGTCGTCGTGGATTTTCTGGAACTGACTCCAAAATGTCAGGTAATCTTTAGCTTCACCACTGAATTTTTTAAGCTCAATTTTTAGGCAATTTAAATTTCCTAGATTCGGAATTATTTGGAAGGAGAGGAGGCTTGTATTTCCGCATCTATTTGAGCACACTGTTATAGAAACTTATCTCGATAATTCCTCCGCTTCTTGAAAATCATCACTAAATAATTTTTCTCCATCTTCAGTCTGCAGAAATCTGCTGCGATATAGCACTCTGGCATACGTCAAGTCTCTCTGGAATTTATCACAAAGTTGACACTTCAAAATCGAAAGTATTTTTAAATCTCTTACTTCTTTAGTTAATTCACTTTCGGTTTTTCTTGAGGTTTGCGTAAACGCAATTCTAAGTCCTTTTCTTTGGGCCTTTAAAGCGATCAAATCCATCTTCAAAGTATATTCAAAATCGAAATTCAATATCAAAAGTTCAATCGGAAAATTCTAATTCAAAGCACCCGGTCCCGCCGAGGGTACCATTATGTTACGAAGAACACAGAAAATATATAAATCAAATATATTTAAAACAGTTCGTTCAGTTGCGGGCCTGCCTCTACCCGAGGCTGGGTGCATTATGAATAAAGACAAAAAATTCTTAATAAATCATTCTTTATTTTCATCAAAACAGCATCACTCTTCCGAGATCAGCTTTCGTTCGTCCACACTCAAAACATTCGAAACACTCAGCACGCAGGCTGACGTCACAAACAGCAGCGCCTCTTGCCGGTTATTACTTCAGTTCATTTCACAACAATATACAAGTAACTAAAATTACCTAACTTTTATAACATTAAGTATCTTCGTAACTGTAGTATTATGCTCTGTTTTATAACCTTATTCATTTGTTATACATTAAAATATTTTCTGTTTTATTTACTAAATGTGTAATCAATTATCAGGATAACTAAATGTGTTAAGAATTTCCATATATGCTTGTGCAGTGTGATTGCATGTTTGTGCAATGAACTTTGATTTTCATGAACGAAAGAAATACAGTCTCCAAATAAGTACTTTTTCGTTTTCCAGTTTATGTGTTTAGCTGTAAAAGTAAATTCACTTCAAGTATGTGTCTGTGCAATTTTGACGATGTAAATACTGAAATGATGTGTACAGTAAAAACTCAACTAAAAAAATATCCGGAAAGCTCTTGAAATTTTGGATAGTCGAGCATATAAAAAATTAAATACTGTAGAAAAGTAAGTGAATGGAAGAATAAACTACTAGTCTAAAATCATAAAAACAGTTCATCTTATTTGTATCAACTTGACTATCAAAAGCCAATATTTAATATTATGCACGATTTTGAAAAAAATGTATGCTGCTGATCTTTGGAATATGATAACGAGGTGATTTTTATAATGGTTGTTATGTGGTGGATTAAGACTTGCAAGTTGAGACTTTAAATATGAACAATAGTAATCTGAAAATTTGAAGTAGTAATTTTATATCCAACAATCTCTGCCAAATAACTTCCATGTTTTAAGTAATTAAAAATATATATTTTTAACACTTGTTATTAATTTTATAAAGTACATTCTATAATTTAAATTTTATTTACTTTCATCTATTTTTAATGTTTGCCATTATAAATTTCATACTATGTACTTTTTAAGAAGATTTCATAGTTGCTAATTAAACTTCCTTTACAATTTATTTAGTTATTTTATACATACATTTATATTTTATGTAAGAAAGGGATTTATGTGCAATAGATATACAGTGAAAATCATTTAACACAAAACTGAGGGGACTGAAATATTTTTTCGTGTTAAAGAATATTAAAAAAAAAAAAAAACATATATTCAACAAAATTAAGCTTATTAGAGTACATTTTATTTACATATATATGTATATATGCATGTATTTAATAAATCAATGAAACAAAAACATCCACAAGAACTTAATGGAATTTAATACAAAATTTTCATGTTTTTTTAAAAACAAAACATTTATTGAGTTTTGGGAAAATAATCTGATATTTTTCTTTGCATTGTCTTTTTTAGCATCAAATTGTTCAATGTCAAACATT